TTTTGATCTCATCTTCAATCCTGTAATTTTGAACAGAAATTGGCAGCTCTAATAGCTACCTTAGCTTTGATATACAAAAGGGTTTTCTCTTTTTCCAGGAGGAAGTGTTTTTATTTTTCAGATATTGCATCCATCAGATTGGAGACATGGAAATTTCTGTGCCATCTTTTTCACTTGACTAGAATTTCAGATTTTTGTCTCTTGCTCCATATGTTTTGTGGTCTGTGCCCAAATATTTAAGAGATGTTTAAAAAAAAGGGCAGATATGCCCTCTTTCTACAAATATTTGATCTGGAATTTAGCTGTTTTGATATCAGTCTTTAGCATTCCATTGTCCCAGAGTTTTGCCATGGGGCAGAAGAGCACATCCCTGACTGTTTCTGGAATCAGTCAGACCTTGTCTTCTGCCTTCTGTTCGTATCAGTTGGTTTGGATTTGAAATGTATCCAGAACCAGTTAATTACTTGTCATCCAGAGAGTTTCGGTTTTTTTTATGGAACTTGCAGTTTATCTTAATCAGCCTGGAAAAGAAAAAAAAAAAATCAGATTTTTGGACTTGGGTCAGAAAAATTAAACTGATGTGAATGTATTCATATGTGGCATACTAGCTTTTTCCAGCTCTGTGCAAATGTATATTTTTTAAAATGTAAGTTACATAGTTTCTGTTGTCTCATACCTGAAGAAAGTACTTTCTGGTGGCTTATTTAGTGCTTCAATGGACAGTTACTAAAAATTCTGTGTGGATTTTAAACTGTTCTCAGCTCACATTGATGTAGTTTGGTTTGTTTAATGAGTTTGAAACTCATTAATCAGAATAACAGTGCTTCTTACTTCCTGTCTTCAGTGATGCAGTCTTCATCTGTGTACTAATAATTTTGAAATATTTGTCTGGGAGTTTGATGGTAGAAGAGAGTTGCAAGCATACATCTCCCTCAGTCTGCTAAGGCTGCCCAGATAAATTTCTAGACAGCAGTGAAGGGGCTCATATGTATAGACAGAATTCCTGAATGACCAAAAATAGAAATATAGTATTATTGGACAGCTTTATTTCTGCTGCACAGAATACTCTCAGTCCTTTTGGAGGTTTTGGAGGCAATTCTTTTACAATTTAGAGAGCCCTGAGATTCAAGCAAGAACTGTTAGGGGTGTTAATTTTGGAGAGTATTGCTAGATACCGTGTCTTTCAGCAAGTGAGGTCTACAGGCATAGTCAGGTCTTGCACTGTATACATAACTTCAGTAGTTAAGGTCTTAGCTTTCTGTGAATAAGAAGTTATTTTCCAGATAGAAAAAAAAAATTATGCCTGTAGAATCCAACATGGCCAACATGGCTCTCACTGTACAGAAATGTAGAAACCTATTTCTATAGTATAAACTCATCATTATGTGAAATATGAGCATCCATTCTTCCTGCCTGAAGCTGCTGCTCATCTTGCTTTTTAGCCAAGGGATTCCGGTCACAGACTGCGATCCCCCAGTGTAATGTGGTGTGTGTGGACACACATTGACACCTCTGTATCAGTCCAGCCCTTATGGGTTTTAAATTTCAGCAGTGAAAATACAGTCCTAGATATTTTCTCTCCAATTGCAGAGAAAGAGGGCCAATGTTACTTGGAGTGGGCAGTGATACCTATATTCTGGTAACTTACCACTTGTCAAGTTTTTGAAGATCAACTGGGAAAGTAATGCTTTGTTTTCCATGGATGATGGGAAGATAAGACTGGTGGGCATCTCTTCCTAGAATCTGTCTTTAATCTGTGTAACTTGAGGCTCATTAATTCACATATTTTGCTTGTTAGTGTTCACTGAAAAGGAGTATCCATGGTAATATGGTGTTAAGCTTATAGTTAGCCTTGTAGAGAGCAAGTTCTTACTATTTTGGGGGTGAAGAGTGGTCCCTTTTACAATCTCTTTCAGAAAGTCAGTGTTTAGATGTTCAGAAATAGGATGACACTATTTGTTTCCATCTTTACCGTCACATGTGTGGAATGGTTGACCGTCAGCCCTTCCTGCTTGTTGCTTGATATGTGAGCAATGGCACAGATCCATGATGAAGCAGGGGTGGTAAGGAGAAAGGAGGTGGAGGTAAGGAGAAAGACCCAAGAAAGTTTGATTGAATTGCATGAGGGAGTACGTGACTTTTAAAGGTCCATTCCAACCCAGCCCATTCACTGACTCTGTAAATAGTGATGACACCATGAGAGTGGAAGACCAGGTGTGTGAAAACCAGCTGGAGTTTGTCTCCATATTTAAAAAGCCAGCCACTGTGCCAACACCTTCACCTTCAATGGTGCTGTCATTGCAGGAATCTGCAAAGTCATCTCTGAGTTGAGTGGAATACCTTGAAATTAAAAAAAAACAAACAAACAAAAAAAAAACCCAGAAAAAGTAACAAGATTTTCTGTTTAGCATAATTGGCTCTCTGTTCAGAGCACTTTGTCTCTGGAGTAGAACATATGACTTATTTGAATATATCTTTGAAAGATAAGTACATAACAAGATAAGAACACTACATGCACACTTTTTTAGGAGAAGAAAGAAGTAAAAAGGATAAATAATGTAGGACAATTCTGTGGTTGGAATGGAACACCCCCACTCCCACCACTGGGTCTGTTGTAACTCATGCCTTTCATCCTTAACCCTGTAAGTCTGTTTCACTTATTTTAAAAATGACTACGTGAGTGTCTGCATTGAAACCAAAACCGTATATGAAGGCACTACATGCCGCCTCAACCCAGTGAGGTAAACTAGGAAGCGAAAGTCCCTGTCTAGTATGACAGATAATACCAGCTTCCAAGAGTAAAACCTGTCATTCCTGTTTTCCCACTGAGAAGAATCATTGTTCAATTATCAACTATATTGGGTTTTTTCTTTCTTTCTTTATTTTTTTTTTAATTTAGAGCTACCAGGCATCATTAGTGGGGGTGGAAAATGACAAAATGGAAGAGGGTACATCACACTGATATTGGAGAAATGACACCTTTGTTCATTTTCATCTTTTCTACAACATTATGTAGCATTTTTCTGGAAAATCCTGTTCTCTAGGCACATAGCAAATATTGATGCCTGTCTTACCTGCTTTCCTGGCTCCCTGATGCCTGAGTTTTGAGGGAGCAGTGACAGTTTGGATCTGTAACACAGGCCACACAGAGGCTATGTGTAATATGCAGAAAATATGGAAATAGAATTCCTGAGACATTAATTTGGGGATTCAGCTGTGTACAGCTTTATAGTAGAAAGAGGGTGGAATGATTTTTCAAACTGGCTACTGATGAATTTCAGTATCAGGAATATTGCCCAACTCTTTATAGTATTTTGTTTTTAAAAGTAGTTGCAGGACAAAGGGACAGTCATGCTTTAGAAGCTGCTGGGAGGATCTGTACACAGTTGTATTGCCCTGAAAATGCAAAGGATGTTTGGACAGGCTATGGTTCAGACCTTTTCAAAACATTTGGCTTCAGTTGATTTTCTTCAGTGTTTTGAAGAATATGAATTGAGTATGACACGAGACTAAGCATGGGAAAAGCTAACCCAAAATATATTTGGCCCCAAAACTGGGAACAATGAAATGTAGAGTAGGATTGTATGGTAAAGTTTAAATTGTCAAATAAATGGTTCTGGATTCTTTCAATAATAGCATTCGAATATCTCTTTTGTTTGTAATTACTGTTTTGGGTAGAATTGTTTGATAGAACTTGGCTCTTCTGTCTTTCATCTTTGTGATGTTCAGTAGTATGACGAGGGGAAGATAGTTCTTGGAGTTAAAATTTCATTTTTTTGGTACTACTCTTAGGATAACAAGAATTTCAGAGTTAATTTGCAAAATTCCATGCTGCAATGGGTTAGATGTTTGACACTTAAAAGAAAATTAGTTTGTCTTAGTATTCATTGCACCTGAAAAAAACTGAGTGTTTCCTAATATGCTAAGAAATCATGCATGTAAATGAGCAAAATAAGACTAATAAACCTAGTTTATCCTTTGAAAATATTGGTCCTGTACTAACTGTTGAGTTTTTAAAGCAAGAGATAACCGTGTAGAAAAAGTCTTGTTTGCACTAGCCTAAAGTTTCACAGATCCTACAAGCATTGCTTCTAAAACCTGTCCAGAAAGTGCTCTGATGCCAGGATCTGGTGAGTTCACGCTTGGTAGGTCAGGTAGAAGTTATGTGGAGGCAAGGAGTACCACCAGTGTGTGAAATGGCTATGGATTTGCTCCATGTTCCTGTGTCCTTCACAGATGAAATCTGTGTTCCTCACAGATAGGGCTACAAGTATGTCTTAGGATTCCTAATTTGTACCTGATGACTTCACAGATAAAGCTAAACTTGATAAGAGTTCCTTAAGCTTTAAATTCCTTCTCTTATTCTTTCTAGCCAGTTTTAGCTGTTTAAGTCACCTGGAGAGAGTTTCTCATCTCAGTTGTGTCCAGAGTGCGTTGGCGAGTGTGTCAGTCGTCTCTCGTTTCCCTGTTCAGGGATGTCACACACGGTGGCGAGTGCTCTCCCTCTCCGCTGTGTTAGCATCCAGGCAGGGCCTGGGTGTAATGCACAAGGCAGCAGAAATATGTCTGAAAGAAACCCCACTGCCTAAGATATGTGATATTGTCATTTGTTATGTGCAGTCTGGCTACAGGTTAAGTAACTGCATATCAATTTAGCATGTAGATAAATACACTGCAGTTGATTTCACTCAGAACTCGTTTTAATGAGAATTTTCCTCTTATGTTTTATTTAAGAGGAAAGAAAACCTGCCTTTCATGTATTTTCCTAGCTAATTGCTGATTATAGGGGAGTTGCATAGTATGACCACAAAACATACCTTTAATTGCTGGGTTTTTTTCACAGTAATAAACTTTGATATGAAAAAGGATTTTCAGTCTGTGGTAGATGGTGTACAAATTTAGATGTTGTGCATGTAACGTTGCATGTATGATGTATGTCTCAACCTACTTTGGCTTTTTAAGTTCTGCATTCCTAACTTTGCCTTCTGTCATCCTCTCAGGAACCCTGGGATGCACAGCACATTCCAGCGCTGTTCTCTGCTTTCTGTGGTCTGCTAGTTGCACTTTCTTATCACCTCAGCAGACAAAGCAGCGACCCATCTGTGCTGATGTAAGTTGCCTGTAAATGTTATTTGCTGAATGTACAGCACACAGCCAGAGTGATGCCTGGGTTTCATAACCACAGGGGTTGTTTCCTGAAAGTACTGTGGGGAGGTGAAATTCCTCGCCATGTCTGCATGGTTGGTATCGGTCATGTATATGAATAAAGTGCTGCAGTCAGATCACCAGCAGGGCTGGTGCTCTTTAAGCAGCGCTATCCAAAACCTCTGAAGCAGATTTTCCCCTCTGGGAGGCTGTGTGCTTGGCAGGTCGGAGGACAGTGATGTAGCTGAGGGGGGTTCAGGCGACTAGAGTTGCAGAACGTGCATTGGGTAGCACTGGGGCCAGGAGAAGGGACATTTGACGTGCTGGGAAGATGGCTGAATTCCAGCTCTTGCTGAGGATTCCTACAGTAGGCTATGCCTCTCAGTTTGAGGTACCATCCTGTATTTTCTTCTCTGACACAGTTTGTTAGAGGTAAATGAGGAAAGGAAGTGTATGCTAGGAGCTGACATTGCAAACAAGGGCGATTAAGGGAAGAAGTCCCAACGTTGTGATCTGCATGATGAGGTGATGTGTGAGAGAGAGACCCAATAGATCCATTGCTCGGGAGCAGAAAATGTGAATTTCCCAGTGAGGAAATTGTGATATATGGCTGTTAAAGGGGCTGTGGAGGTCAGCAAGCAGCTGGGCAATTACACCTATGGCTGTGGGGCTGAGCAAGCAAGTGGGTTTTGTGCAGCCAGTATCACCATGCCATTTGGAATTCCGCTTCACAGACAGCTCAGTTTTATTTTCAGCAACTGAAATGGTTGTTAAAATGCCTAAAAATTAAGAATACATGTACAACAACATCAAATGTTTATTGTGCAACTGTAAAAATGTGTAATCTTTAAAAAAAGAGATTTAAGATTTTTTTTCTTTAAACAGCTCTGAACTTCTTTTAAATAAGTTAAGGAGATTGGAAAAAGTGTTTAAGGTATGGCCTATGGCATAAAATTCAAGATGGATGAGGAGGTAGTACATAGATCTAGAAAATAAAATGAACATACAGTTTTGTACAGAATTGGCTTCCTTGCCCATTTTAACATGGGTCTAAAGAGCTCTCATTGGTTTCAGCTTAGCTGAAACAGAAATAAGAGTCATAAATGTAACAGTTTGTTACTGCTCATTCCTCAAAATGACTGAGTCGCATTGATTGGGCTGTTGAGATTCCTCAGGATTCTGATGAGGAATTTCTGTCCTGATCGCAGGTAGAACTGGTTTGTTCAATCTCCAGCTGTACAGAGATAAGAATGTTTGCATGAAGAAGGAACTCTGAGACTGTTCTTCCTCCTCTGTCCTTCAGGAATATTCAAGGAATATTCAGGAATATCTGTTGCACATGTTCAGAAGTATCCTAACTAGGAATTTTTTTTTTTAACAGGTCCCTTATTCAGTGTAAATATGTCCCTCACTATCTACGCCAACGATTTGAAGAATCATCAGAAGATCCACTCCCAGAAAAAATGAGAGAATCAGTGGTAAGGCCTTTTCTTTCATTACTTTCTGTCCGAAGCGCTCTCTCTTATCTTCTATCTGTTTTGCCCACTGAGGAACCTTGTAAATATTGTCATTTTGCAATTTAAATTACTAAAAGCACAGATAGATGATCTTTACGGTGAGGCCAGCAGTGGGAAGGGGGATACATGTCATTTTCCTTTCTGAAGGACTCCTTTGAAGGGCTCTGCCACGTTGATTCTTTAACATAGTCCATGGGAAATTCACTCTTAGAGCTTGGGGAGAGGGTCTTCTCTCATCCTAGTACAGAGAGAACTGATGCAGGTTCTATGCACAGAGTTACAGCCTGGCAATCTGGTGTGTCCAAGGCAGGCTGGATTGTTCAACAAGCATTCAAAGAGATGATCAGTCCTGCCAAATTCTCTGTCTGTGCTGGAGAGGAAGAGGATTCAGTCCACAGAATTACATGTGTTTAAAGCAGCCCTTATTCTTTATTTTTCTATGGCTAGGGCTACCTGTTTTTCAGAAATGCCTTTTCTGTGCCAGGAAATACTCTTGACTGTGTGCCCTCCACCCCAGCTGAGCCAAGTGGAGAACACTGTCAGACTTGGCACCTAGGGGTGGAAGAAGCACATGAAACTGGGATAGTATGGGAGAGGGAGGTACATGCCTGGTGCCAAGCATTGCCATCTCATCGTCTCTTCTTTGCTTGGCAGGCTGTTTATTTACTACTGTCTGGCAGGAGCTCTAAGTTTGTGTCAGCTTATTTCTCACTTCAGCATAAACACTGCAAAGTGACCCATCTTCCTTTTAGTGTCTTTTTATATTAAAAAAAAAAAAATTTGCTGTTCCCCAGGGGAGGTTGATCTTATAAGGCATTCATGTGGGAAGATCATCAAGTTTCCAGAAATGCTAAGGGGTGTTTGACATTTATTAGTCATGTGAACTGTCCTGCTTCCTGACTGTCAGACAGCTCTTCCTCTTGACCACACCCCCAGCGCCTGCATCCAAGCATTTGCAACCTAGGCAGCTATTCCTAAACTTCTGAATTCTCTCTGAAATCCGAGAGCATTCAGAGAGTCTCTGGAAGATAGACTGCCTTTTTTAACCCTTAGACATGACCTGGGAGTCCATAGTTCCTACTGGCCTCCAGATGTTCCTTCAAAGGGATGCATCTCTCATGTACATCCTGAATCATTTCTTAGGCATTTTGTGAGGCATTACACAGCCTACATTCAGCAAATGCTTTTATCCCACACTACCAATGTTTTCTACTTTTCTAAGCTGCTGCTTAGATTGTCATTTTTACCATGTATAGTGTTATTTTAAACTTGGTCCTCTAACAGGGCCTACATGAGATTGAGTGATATGGCTGTTTCTTGTTGCTTGTACAGTTTCTTGCAAACTAAGCTGTTTGCAACAGTTGATACTGGAATATGAATGTGCATCTAGAAACAGAGTAAAAAAGCAAAGTATTTTTGTTAGAATTTTGCTGTATTCTGTGGTATTTGTGGTGTGTAGGTCATTGCCATGGTTCATTGACATTCCATTCTTGTATACAGGGATTGTATGGCAGATGTAATGGAAAGCTTCTCATGCTCCTGTAGTTCTGTCTTTTGCTGATAGTGCCTTTCTTGGAGGAGTACAGAGTCTGATCTCATCTGTTCTGCAGATGGAGCCCAGCCTGGGGACTGAAGCAGTTACTGCAGCTGTCCACCTAACTGGTTTCATTTCGCAGTGCAGAGGAAAACCTTGAGCAAGGCTTTAATATATTGAAAACAAAACCCAAAAATAGTGGAAAAAATCTACATCTAAGATCCTGGCTGTATTTTCAAAATGGAGTAATTCTGCAGATGAACAATTTTTATATCAGTGACAATGACAGAGATCTGCTGTCTTACACTAACACTGCACAGCTGCACTTGGACCTTTGAGCCAATGGGGTGGAAGATGCAGAAGTATAGGGATAACTGCGTTGGGATTTGCCAGACACAGGACTTCAGTTCTTCTCTTCACAGTGTTTCATTCCTGACACATTTTGTCGCACTTTTAGGATTAATTAAGTGGGCTTCCTGGCACCATTGCTCTCCAGAAAATACCTGGATTAGGGAATTGGCACTTTTTTGCTCTGTACATTTGATACTCCATGCTGCTGCTGCTATTAGGCAGAGGCTGCTTTCCTTCAGTGTTGCTGGAGCTTGCCAGTTCTTTGCCTTCATTTCTTTTTTCCCCACTGTCTGGGCTTCCTTCAATCTGTATAAAAACTGTAAGCAAAAGTATTTGCTTACGATGTCAATTAGCAGTGCTAATTTTGAAGAAATTAGCTGAAGAAAGAGAGGGCAATTTCTGATTAATGTGTGCTGTTTGTCGAACCCCTGTGTTACCTGGTACCTCTGTCTCAGTTAAACACCAAGGAGACTCCCACTGCTATCTCAGCAATGCAGTGCTAATAGGGCAAGTAGGGAAGAACTGAGGCAGGAGAAAATGCATGTGCATAGAGTTCAAGGAGCACAAGCAAGCCTTGATTCCCTTCTGACTTGCTTCAGCAATAGCAGACATGTTTAAGATGTAGGATTCGGCTGACTCTTCAAAGCCAATTTAAAATAATTTCCAGAAGTTTTGTAAGGGGTTCAGAAGCTGGCTGAAACAATATATCAGTATTCAGAAGAGGTTTCATGATGGTAGCTCATGTTTTCTTGAAGTGCTCCTCTGTGAGGAGAGTATTCCTAACCCCTGTCAGTGGCAAGAGATGGCAGGATGCAACACAGGCCAGCCTTGCCTTGGTAACAAGCGGTCTACATAACACCATTTAAATAAGATCCATTTTCATCACAAAGCCAGAGGCGTAAAGAACCAAATTGCTTTCTCAAGGAGCTGAAAGCAAACAAGGTTAATATTGAAAATTAATGTATTGTTTTCTGGATGGCTTTGCATTGATGTTAGGATGTTAATAAATACAGCATCCTAATGTTTAGTTGCACGACTTTTACCCTTTTCTTTTCCTTGAATAGCTGTGTAAGAATTGCCAGCTTCGGAAGCCTGAATTATGAAGCAGCTGTGATTGATAATTGACCATTCAACTTTGAGAATGGAGCTTCCTACCATTATAATTAATTTCTGTAGGCATCCACATGGCTGATTACTAGATTAAGCAGTGGCCTGAGGGTGATGATGTGTTACATTCAAGCTCAAGGTTCCTTCCTGGTTTTTAGTACAAACATTTAGACAGCTAATAAAAGGATTTGTGCAAAGCTCAAAAAATCTAATTGAAAATAATGGTTGGATTTGGTGATTTAAACATCTTTCCCACATAAACAATTCTATGACTCTGTGATAGTAATTAAAACAAAAAAAAAAGTGCCTTGTGAAATCCTCAAGGCATCAAAGGTAGCCATATTGGTTTGGGATTTTTTTTTCCCCTTGAGTGTAAAATGGAGAGTGTAGAATGGCTTTCAGTCTGAGCTATAAGTGACTATCTCTCACAGGAGGGATTTGAACTGTGAATACAGCAATGAAGGGCTCAAGCATCATGCCATAGAGCAATTCAGTATTCAACTCCTAAGTTCCTGGCCTTGGGAATGACATCCAAAAATCTGTTTTAGCCAGTTAGGTCCAAGGTAGGCATGTGCTTTTCAGGAGCTAGCTGCCTTCCACAGGAAGGCCAGAAGCTGCAGACCCACCCCCAGCAGTTAGATGCCCTAGTATTTCTCCTGGAGAGTAGCAGTGAGTTCCTCTCATCCAGAGAGAACACTGCCATTTCCTGGGGGACCCTGTGCCCTGTGCAGTGACACAGAACAGAAGCAACCACTGCTCAGCTTTGTTTTAGAAGGAAAAAAGCCTGAATTTTGTGAGAAGCTTGAAAGCGTTGGCCACATGAAGAGGGAGCTCCTGTGGGGACCATTGTGCAAGTCAGCAGCTGAGCAGTATATTTACATTTTGAAACAGTTCAGTTCAAGGGCAGAAGAACAAGCCTGGGTCTATATGACCCTTTAAACACTTTCAGTATTGCCAGAAATGGAAAGCAATTGTCAAATTTGGAGTTGAATATTTGAATAATAATAATTTCCTTAAAAGCATAGGCCTTTTTCTGTATAGGATTGTCAGAGAGATGAGAGCGCTGTAAAAAGGACATAATTCATTGCAAAATAAAGATGGGAAATACAAGTCCTGTGCAATATAATTTGTGTAATATGTTCCCTTCTGAATGTAATGAAATGTTTTAAAATATTCTCTTTGGTGATCTGGCCCAGAATGGCAAGTTAGGATACCACCTCTCCCCAAAATATGCCTCGTTATCACCTCTGCTGATTTTACAGCTAAATTCCTAAAATTTTACATGTTTTTTAAAGTGTCAGCTTCTTCAGTCATCTGACTGTGAGAGAAATCAGTCATTTTAATATTAAGCCTTTTGGGTTGTACAGAAGAGCTTGTGAATGTGATTGGAGCATGTTTGTTGTTCTTAGAAGGTTGTTTTAGATTATTGAGTAGTTGAATTCAGCTGTGCAGAAAATGATACTTGATCAAGACTTTTCATGCTGTGTATTCACAAAAGGGCTGAAATAGTGCCATATAAATTTGACACTGCTTAATTTTCCCAGAAACTGCTGTTTCACATAGATTTTGTATGCAATATCTTTAAAAATATCTGGAAAGGTTAAAAGCATCATCTCCATTGCATGATAATAATTTCGTTATTAATTTTTATTAGACCGTGTTTTTTCAGTACTGCTACTTGCTAGTAAGAGAAAGTTGTGAGAGAAATGAATAGAGAGAACTTAACAGAGAAGACCTGTGGGGCCAGGCAGGGAGCAAAGGTTTAGTCAGGGAAGAGAAGGCTTTTCCTGTGGGCTCCCTCATGTTGTGGTTCTTCTGTTAAACACCACAGCCAAGGGGCAATGTTAGCAGGGCTGTGCTTTGAAAAGATGGTCAGGAGAGTTACAAAGACCTATCTCTGCTCCCATACCTTCCCAGCACATGTAGCCCATGCAGAGTACAGGGCTGTCCAGGGAAGGATAGATCTCAGAGTGGAGGGATCACCTCTTTTTTGGAGGTATGTACATGCTCCTGAGCCGCCTGGGAAGGGCAAAGACCGTGGTGGTCGCTTGAGATTTCAGCTAAGCCATATTGGAGTTTCCTGGGACAAAACAAAAGTACTTTCAGAGCCTGAAGGCTTTTTAGTCCTGCTGCAGTAAGTGGAAGTGCTGATGCTGGTGACCTTTTACTGAGAAGCATCTTTCATAACAGGGAGTGATAGGCAGCCTAAATATAGAGGTTGCTACCAGCTTCCCCGGTAATTCGCAGCCCTTCTGTTCTTCGCTTGTTCTGCTTGCTTTCTTTTTATCTCCTTTATTTGTAGATCTGCCAAACCATCATTATTTTAGTTTTCTTTCTTTTTCTCTGATGAGATACATTAAGCTTACCTAAATTGCACCACCAGGAAGTCAGATGAACCACTGGTTCTAACAAAAGTGCTGCTTTTCACGTGTTGTTTCAAGGTATCTTTGAATTAAAGCATAAGTCAGCTTCTAAATCAAGAGCTGCAAATAGTTTCTCATTTGGTAACTTAGCAGCAGTATTGAGTGCTGAACCTAAATGCCCTTCTCATAAATCTAAGACAAGATTTTCATTTACTCACAAAAGCATTTGGGTGACCTCTGAAGTACAATTCAGAAGACCACGCAGATCACAAGCTATCTTGTTTATTTGTTTACCGAGAATGACATTTTAATAACAAGAAAAATGTGCTGTAAAGACAGTGATATTTCCAATCTTTAGAAACAAAGTTACTCCTACCATAGTTACAGATCTTTACATAAAGGCAGACATGGCCTTTCATTATCATTCAATGACACTGGAAAAAAGCCTTATCTAAAATCCAGAAAATTTTGCTGTAGTTTTACTTCCAATAAAGAAAATCAGAGACTGGGATATGTCACAATATTTAGAACATAATAAATGTATTAATGTTGTGTCTTAGAAGACATTATGGAGAAGCATGACTTTTTTCAGTATTGCAAGAGAAAGGGAATAAGAAATATTAGTTCTTGAAAATAGGAAATGGAACCAGAATTTTGATTCCCAAAAATAAGAAAGTCATAATGGAAAAGAGTTACACTCCTCAAGAAGAATCAGATTCAATATTAAACTGTATTGCTTTCATTTCTCCAATATTATAATTTTGTTATTTAAAAATATAATTCAAAATTAGGCACGAATAATTTAAATGTGATTACTTCAGCTAACCTGGCATGTGGAGAAATAATTTCCCAAAGCAGAGTGAAGAAAATACTTTTGTATTAGGGAGTGCTGATTAGCTTTATCACGATGCAGAGGGTAAGTAATTGAGAACAGAATAATTTACTTTGCTTAAAATAGTGTTGCCTTCCTAATTTTGTGTAAAATAATTATTTTCACAGAGAGAAATCTTGAAATCGGATCTCATTGTCTGCACGGCAGCTGCTGTTCTGTCATTTGCTGTCAGTGCCAGTACTGTGTTCCTGTCATTAAGGGTGTGTATCTATCCTTTTTTTTCCCCCCCTAAGGTATTATGTCTCTTATGCAAAACCACAGGGGTGCTCTAACTGGAAAGAATAGACACTGTGGGAAGAGAAGTTAGTGAAAATGTATTTACTGGTCATGATAACATTATCATATCTGCAAAGCAGTTAGTTTTCTGGGTATTTGTATTAATTTCAGTGCTACTTATTTGACACCTCTTTGCTTAAGCCTCCACAGCTCTTACAATATGGAACCTAGAGGACAGAATGAATAAGCCTGACATTTTGCCTTTTTTCCTTCAATCACAGAGGAAAAAAATTGATTAATTGTGTGTGCAAAACACACATTTCAAAATCCATATTCACCTAGAGTCAAGAATTTGAACATAGGAATAAAAATGAAGGGCACAAAAATACAATTATAGAAACTGTCAAAAAATGCTTTAAAAAAAGAAAAAATATATAGATGTTGTATGCAAATTTTAACTATGTTTCCTTTTGTCCTGCTTTGGCCCAGCCATTTCTCAGCATTGTCCTGTTTGCTTTGGCGTGGACAGTGGGATTTGTAACACATTACATCCTTCCTCAGCTCCGCAAGCATCACCCCTGGCTGTGGATCTCCCACCCCATACTCAAAAGCAAAGAGCACCAGCAGCGGGAAGTGAGAGGTTTGTAATACAGTCTTTTCTAAATGGTAGATACAGTGACTTCCAGCTTGCCCTGGTTTGAAGAACAAAAAAAAAAAAAAACCAAAAAAAGAAATTAAAAAAAATCTAGAAGTAACAAGGCTGTGGGAATAAATTATCCTTTTACTTTTGAGTAGCACACATACGTGATAATTTTAATTTTTACACCTCATCACCAGCAGATCTGTGAACCTGTAGGAATTGTCTTCTCAGGCCCCTGCCCAGATGGGCTGAGGCCAGACAGACACATCTGGAGATGTGGAGATGTCTGGTCTGATGCTGAGCAGGGTCAGCTAGAGCAGATTGTTCAGGGCTGTGTCCAGTTTTTAATATTTTCAAGCATGGAGGCTCTAAAACCTTTCTGGACATTCTGTAATAGCAGTCAGTCATCCTTACAGTAAGAAAGATTTCTTCAAATTGTGATGTTTGGGTGTTTTTTGGGGATTTTTTTCCCTGCTTTTTTATTTTTGTGGGTTTTGGTGGCTATTTTTTGTTTAAATGGGTTTTCAATTTGCACCCATTTCCTTTTGTCCTGTCACTGGCCACTGCTGAGAACAGAGTGGCTCCATTGTGGGAAACAGTAAAGGTAAGAAGACTTTCAGAAGGTGTGAAAATAGGCCTCAGAAAAGAAAAAGCAGAGAACTTAGAGCTAGCTGCAGCTGCAAAGCCTGAAAGTAAAGAAGATAAAATAATACAATATGCAAGGACATGAAACAACAGTTGAGTTTTTAGGCTTGGCTAAGATAGACCTTAAGGCTGCAGAGAAATATGCTGACCAAGATAGAAAGTTTTAAGCTAAATAACAGAGTATTGTGTATTGTTAATAGAAAGCAAAGAAGCAAGTGTTGTTTGAAGCAGGTGTGTGTGTGCTTTTAGTGATTGGCTAGAACAATTGTCTGTAACCTTTAGCAATATGGTATTGGCTGAAAAACTTTTAAAATGTTCAGTAACAATGCTGCTCGTGGCAGACGTGAGCCTGTGCCATCTCCTGTATCTGTAGCTGAGATTGGTGCCCAAATAAAAGCTTGTGATGTGTCACCTGGCAGTCCTGTCCTGTTTGTGAAAAATCAACACCAACATCCATCAACATTACCTTCCCCCATCAGGTATTTATACCCCAAAAATGCTGCCAATCAGGCATTAATAAGATGCCCCCAAGGCTTTTTCTTCTTCAAGTTAAGCAATCCCAGCACTCTGTTTCTCCTTCTATGTTGAATGTTCCTGTCCCTTAATCATTTCACAGCCTCTGTGTGATCTTTCATGAGCCACTGTCTGATCTGCTTTTTGTGTTGCATTACAGTACTGTTACTTGTTGCTTGACATGGTATAGTTCATGTCTAATACATTGGCATTCTACATAATTTAAAAACTTAAAAGATTGGTGAAATTGAGGCAGATTTTTTTCTAATTTCTGACATATCAGCAAATGTAGAGCACTTTAAGGGTTTGAATTTCAATTGTAACGCTTTTGTAGAAAACATGAGAACTGAAAAGAACTGAAATTATCTTTGAGATTTATTCTTGCTGATGTCTGCTGGCTTCAGTGTGTAGTGCCTTGATGCATGTGAATATCAGTCAATATTTTAGTATGTCGAGATCTGACTTCCTGTTCTGTCAGAGTTATTTCTGAAGCAGGCAGTGTGCTTTGAGAAGCAAAGCTTCCCCCTTCCACCCCAGCTCTCTTCTTGCCTTTGCTACCAGCTAAAACTTGCTTGTCATTTCTTGATGGATCCCACGCCTTAATAATTCTCAATATATGTTTCTGAAGTGTTTGAAGGCAGCATTTGCAGAACAGTCTGTTGATGGACTTTAGTCTGTTCTTCAACTAGACCACAAAAGAGTTTAGATCACTCCCAGGAAAACCAAACATTAAGGATTTAAATAGTTTTTATTTTAAAAAAATTATGTGTTTCACAATGATTACTTTCCATACAAGGGTTGGGTATGAAAAAAAGTACCCAAGAGACTTGACTGAAGGTTGCCTTATAACTTTCACTGCAATATGCCAAGGTAGGTATAATAGAAATACAAGTATTATTAAGCACCATGCCCAGCTGAAAACAGTGTCCAGGACTTCCTGTCCCCGATAACTAGTAATTCTGATAAATACCCAATTGCTCTGTTTGTTTCAGTACTTAATCATAAAAGACCACTGTAGGATTTCTTTGCCTTGTCCTGATTAAGTCTGTCTTCATTTGTCAGAAAACATTGTTTTCCTAAATGCAGTGACTCAGCATTTGAAAAGGTTGAAGGTAGAGACCTGCTGGACTGATTTCCACAGATGGGTTTCCTTCTGTTTTGAGATCCAGCTGCATTTCTCATGCTGCTCACTGTGGGGAACAGGCTTCTTTTTCTTCTTTTACAGTACTCATTTATATGTGGCCCATTCCAGTACTTTGGTTTCTAAGTATTATTGCAATGTAGCTGGTGTTGTGTGTTAGAAAACAAGAGTAAAAAGAAAAAAAAAATATATATATATATATATATATATTTCAGGCCCTTAGGCAGCTGCAGAGGTTTTTTATCATGTCTGAGATGAGACAGACTGTGGAAAAGGTAATCCCTTTGATAGATATGTCTGACAGGCTGTGTTCTTTCTTTTGTCCTGTAATAAAAATGTAGGAACTAAACATTAAAATGTTCCCTGTTTGTATAGAAAGAGAAACTTGGAAAAAGGACAGTAGTACCCCATAATTGTCAGGTGCGGACAGTGAAAGGACAAATACACAAAATAATGTCTGTAAGGAGTTTTTACTGCATAGATTTTAATTTTAATCCTTTTTTTTTTACAAGGGTAGTGCTATTGAAAGACAAATAACTGCTTCCAATCAGACTAACAAATATTTGACAGTGACAGCTCCACAGGCTTGTTCCTGGCTTTGCTGCATAGACTCTGGACGATTGTCAGACCAGTTCTTGTGATGCCCCTGTGAGATAACTCAGTTATTGCCATTGGCTTGGCTGGCTGCAGGATGAAAAGCTTAGGTCATGATGTATGAGCTTATGGTACAATAGATGTGTAGAAACTAGTGCAGGGCTAAATGAGAAAGAAACCCTGATATAGTAGGTTATTTTGTCTTCTCCTTCCTCCCCACTACTGCTTTTATACCCCACAGGTTTGTGTAAGCCATTTTCAAATCATCCTCATCTTTGCCTGGGGCCCCTCTGAATGTGAGCTCTTTTCTGTCTCCATTGTCTGAACAGACCTCACTCTGCTCCTGCACCCACCTTCTGTTTGGTTTGTGTGATATTCTTATCTCTTTACTGAAGCTTAAGCTCTTAACACTGAGCTCAGCTTTGGACATGGCTGAAGCTCTTGAGCTCAGAGGGAGGAGGAAGAGAGAGGGATGGAGAAGAACAGCTAGGTTCCAAAGGGGACAATTTGCTGTGTGTATGAGCTTTCAGGAGGTAGCCTTTAGGTAATGAAGAGGAAATATTTTTATGTTATAGCAAGAAACTGAATTTAATTATATTTTCTGAAGGGGGATTTTTCAAGAGCATTGCCTTAGCTTAAGGTACTGGCAAAGTATGACTTCAACCTAATTTAGGATTGCTTTTAGATTTTTCTCTTAGCCTATGCAATATACAACAATGCCTGTAGAACACAGAAATCCATTGATTCAGCATGTCTTCTTTACTGTCATTGAAAAGGTGTATATGGAAGAGGGGCTGTCTACATGTAATTGTTTTCATTTTGCAGGGATGATTATTGGCTATTCAGTAGCTGGCATTTTTATTTCTGAGTTAATACCAAGTTCTGCCTTTTTGTGTTCACTGTTTTTCCAATAACCTTGTCTAGCTGAGCTTTGAGGAAAAAGGCGTTGTTTTTGTCTGTACACAAGTGTTTCTGCACTCAGTTCACCTAAGTTCTCATAGCAGTTGGATTGCACAGAGCATTCTGTTCTTGTTTAATACTCCTATCAAGCACTGTGGTATTGTTATTAAATTCTACTGCAAAAAAAGGCTATTTCTTAGAGAGGAATGATGTGAGATGTGATGCTTCTCACAGTGTCTAAGTGTTTTAGGAAACATCTATTACAGTTTCTAGCTCCTGATAATTCTTCAGTCTTTAAATCTCAAGGGGTGTTTCATTTATCAGTGAGGTACAGTCTAATGAATAGTTTGTTTTGCTACTATAAGATGGGTAAGTAGAGGCACAGAGCTCAGAAGAGGTTTCCTAGGTGATTCAGCAGGTCAGTGCCAGAGCTGGAGATGGCCTCTCTGGGGTCATTACATCCACTGAGAGTGCTATTTAATATACTGACTGAAGAACTGGATGATACAAAAACTACCATCTAGCATGTACTATCTTGTATTGTCTCAGGAGTGCAGTTATAAGCAGCAAAACAGGTACTCTCTAAACTCAGAGAACAAAATCATTTCTCTATTGCCAAAGAATTATGAATTCCATCGTTTCATAAATTAGTTGGTTGACTATATGTATTAATATGAGATAATTAGTGTCTTCTTTGGTACTCCAGTGCAAAAAATGCTGATGATTTGATGATACAAACTGTTATCTGAATTTCCATTTCAGATGCTGCTCATTTGATGTGGTTTGAAAGGCTTTATGTGTGGCTACAGTGCTTTGAGAAATACATTTTATATCCAGCTATAATACTGAATGCACTCACCATTGATGCTTTCTCAATCAGTAAATACAAGAAGCTTGGTACACAGTAAGTAGATTATAACTCAGAGCATGTGATTAGTAGAATATTTGGTTTTAGACTGAAAACTGAGAAATGGAATTTGTTTTTAAATAAGCCTGTAATCTCATCGCAGTTTGCTTTCATGCATATTAGTTCAAAATACAATAATAATTGGTTTTGCTGCAAGAAAAATGTGAAACTACCTTAGCACACTAAAATATGTCTCCAGTGAGAGAGAGTGAAATTAAAAGATTAAAGAGCTATATATAGATCTATATGGAAGGTCTAAATGTCAATTAAAGGCAAGACACACTATACCGGGCTGCAGGTGTTTGATGGGCATAAACTCAGTGGGGTAACTAGAATTAATCAGATGAAAATGAGAAATCTAGGCTGGATATCAGGAAACATTTCCTAACTGAGGATTTTTAACGCTATGCCATAGCCTCCCAAAGGAGTTATCAGAAGCTTCACCACACAAGTCTTTAAAGGCTGAGTAAAATATTAAACGCTGTAGAAAGGTGGGTAGTCCTGCATTAAGAGTGGTTTGAGAAAGGTGGGGTACAAGTTTTGATGAAGTCTGATGTCTTAGATATTAAGCAGAACTGGTAGTGCTGATCCATGGTCTCACAGTATGATCCTTGCAGACAGCCTTTTATGGTAAGTTTTTTCAGTCAGTGACTTGCCTACTGCAGATATTCAGCAGGCTTAGTGACTGCAGTATCCCCAGTGAGCAGAGTTTCTGCAGTCTTTTTATCAGAACGACAGTGATGCAGATGATAAAACAAAGAAACAGCCTTGGAATGTTCCAGTGACAAGAAAAAATGATGGGAGGTGGGGAGGACTTCCTCAGTATCCATAATAATTCAGATTTTTAATTTCAAATATTAGATAAAAGAACTTTGATGCAAAAATTGCATGTTAATTTAATTATTTCTCTCTCTTGAGGAGCAACACAGCTTTAGGAACTACACAACTATGAGGAAAGGTCAACATCTGCTTTTAGGGGTTGAAACTTGGACCAGGGCATTAGTCAAATTTTCTGTGTATTTCCCACAGACAACTACTTTTCCAGAATGACTCTTGTCAGTCACTCATTGATAACCTCTGTATCTCCACTGACCTTTTTTCCCCCCTAGGTACTTGGAAGATGCTACTGCCAAGGTGCTTCAAGAGTTCAGGTGTATTGTCCAGGGTGACACTGAAGCCACACTCCTCTCTCTATTTAGTTCTGCAAGGCTGAGAGAATTAAAAGTAGTCAGAATGCCATTTTTTACTAGCTAGCAGACGTGACTGAATACATGCACGGAGCAAATATGTAGGGTTAGGAAGGTGCTATTTTTACATAGTCGTTCCTCCAAGCTAGATTACACTTTAAAGTATCACCTCCCTCAAGTGTTCAGAAGAAATGAGTCAGACCCCCTGAAGTCTTGAGATTAAAGAAAGTAATTACATTTGTCTGTCTCTGATTGTTTGGCCTGTGGGGGAATACCACAGCAGTCCTTTCCTTCCCCATCCCCCTTGTGTCTGTGTGATCACCTGTGTAAAACCTGCTTTCTCCTTTTCCTTGTAGCTCTGGTCTATCCATGAAACTCCCTTTTCCTCTGGCACTTCTCTTTATTACATTCTCCCTACAGCTGCCATCCAAATGCCACACACAAAGCACTCATCTTCAGATCCTACCTCTTAACTAACTCTGTTAACCCTCACCGGTTTACAGAGTTAGCTCAGGGGCTAACTCTGGAAACCCATGAGGGATCCTGGATTCTCCTTGCTGCTTCCATATACAGTGCTACGGAGGGTTGTACTTGCTGTGCTTTAATGCATAAATCCCTGTTTTCTGTTGCTGGAACATTCCTTAGTTAGTGACCACCCAAGGATTAGACCCCGTCATGATGTAGGGAAGGGAAGACACTCTCCCACTCTGTGTCTGAAAGCATCTGAGGTGCTACATTTTGTGTGATTTGATGTCAGAGTTTCCCTAAAATTGAATTTATCTTTTAAAGAAGCTTCACCTTGCTTAGTGATTTAAAGGACTGCAGCAGTGTGCTTCTTGAGGAGGCAGAGCAGCTCCTCTATAGTCAGGAGTTTGCCTGAGCTTTCCAGACCCTGATGTGCTGGTTATTAACAGGACTCATGCTGACAGTGCCTGGCCCTGCTACCTGACAAGGAGGCACTGGAAATCAGCCCCCCTTCTCATGCTCCCTTATATCTTTTCCCAGGAATTAAGGCCCCAGGAAAAGCAACTTGTGTGGCAGTATTTTTAAGGAGGAAGGAATAATGAGCGAATTATTTTCCGTTATCTCTGAATGCATTATTTTGTAAAGTATGATTATTTTTTTTGGTGAAAGTTTTATCATGGTTGCAGGCACAGTGACAAAAAGTCTTCCTTTTGCTCCATGATCTGTAAGTTTCCATGTGAAAATTCTCCATGTTGCAAGAATTTTCTTCTTTCTGAAGAATGAGATGTACAACTGGTTCATATAGTATATGCTGGGATGGCTTCTGGTGGCTGCAGAATCTAATTAGCTTAGTCATTAGATTTTTCCATTCAGAAATGTGGGGCAAATTGAAAAGAACAGCTTTGACAAGGTGGAAAATAAGGTCAGCTTGGTGTTTCATTCCAACAGTAATGCCCTGCTGATCCTTTAGAATGACCAGCACCCAAAATAAAGTGCATTTGCATTACAGGAGATACACAATAATGAATAAATGCCACATAAAATAAAATCAGCCTGGAAAATAAGAATCTTGCTAGGATGGTGAAAACCTCTTGAGAGCTTTCTAGCCTGCCAAGTGTCAGTCATGGCAGCAGGTATTCTGATTAGCAGCAGGATGAAGGAGAACCTTCTATGCATTTTGCAAATACCTGGCTTACTTTCTCACTCATTAACCACTGAAGTCTCCATGTCTTGGAAGACATAGGTGCCACACAATTTATTTTCATCTGATGAATTATCATATAGAATAGTCAGCTTTCTGATCAAGAACAGTGGTAAGAATTTCAAACATTTCACATCTGTATGGTTTCTATCCAGAATTTTGGCAGTGCATAATGAAATTATAAGTAAAATTATAAATTCTGTCATTAAGTGTAATTTCTTGTAATAAAAAAAAAAAATAGTTTAAGGGTTTGTTTTTTTTTTTTCAAATTACAGTAATATATTAATGAAAGTGCCAAGGTGTTTCCTGGACAGAAATTTTATTTTAAGAGGGATATAAAAATGTTTGGTGTAGATTCTTGGGTTTTAGTAGTCAGTACTACTCTTTTTAGTACAGAGTTTGGGTTTTTTTACAACTTAAAAATGTGTCATAATGATAAGGGAAAAATACAAAATTTCACATAAGTAAAATAAACGTGATGATTTCTGTTATTACTTCTATATAATTTTAATAAATAAGATATTTAGATTTAAATATGCATAGGAATCTCAAATACATCCAATATATCAGATATTTGTGTTTAAGAGCTTCTTAATTTAATGGCTTATGAGTTGATTGGGTTTTTCTCTGTTTTTCTTACAGCTGTGACATTATCCTGATAACAGTTGCTGGGATGAAACTCCTCCGCTCCTCATTCTGTAATCCTATTAATCAATTTGTTACTCTGAGCTTTACTGTGATCTTCTTCCGATTTGACTACAGAGACATTTCAGAAAATTTCTTGCTGGATTTCTTCATGATGTCCATTGTGTTTCATAAGGCAAGTTTCACAGCTCCTATGTTTCATAAGGCAAGTTTCACAGCTCCTATAATTTCTTCAGAAAATGTATCTTCTCAGTGTCACCTGGCTAATCAATGTGTGTTAGGAGTTCTTAGAAGTAATGAATGTATACATAGACTCAGATTATTGGTACTATAGAGGAAAAAATATATGTTAAATTGAAAAAAAGGCAGATTATTGGTACTATAGAGGAAAAAATATATGTTAAATTGAAAAAAAGGCTTTGATTAAGTGTATTTTCTGGCTCTGTGAAATGTTTTGCATCTACTTTTTGTTCACATGTTGCTATATAAATTTCAGAATTGTTGCTTTCAAGAGGAGAATCCTCAATGAGTTTGAAAGAGCCTCTTGGGTCATTAGTGCAGGACTGCTCTCCAGATCAATCGCCTGGTGTTTTTATCTCGGTTTCCTTTGAATGCCTCTAGTGGTTGACTCAACAACTTCCTTTGGGAAATTATTCCATTATCTAATCACCCTCATGATAATAAATGTTTTCCTAATGTCAGCCTTAACATTTTTCTTTTCCTATTTTCAGCCTGCTATCCTTGTGGTGCTGCCCTTAACCTTAACCTCAGTGCTCTTTCCTCTCTATTACATTGTTAACTCTTGAAGTGTGCTCCAGTTGAGTTTATTTTAAAACTACCAAAGCCTTTCTGCATCAGTCAGGTCAGACCCTGTCTTTGTTTGGAATCCAAGCCAAAAGAATTAGGCTTAACTAATACCTTGAGAAAACATGGGAAAGTACTGAAGGTTTGAAAGTATTTGTCCGGGGTAACTCTGGTGAGGTGTTTGGTTTTGTTGTTCTTTGTTTTGTTTGGCTTTTTTTGCTCAGGCTTCTTTGCTTAGTTTCTTTTTTCTAAAATATTCCTACTATACGTGTGGGTATGAACCAGGTAGCATCCCTTAGTTTCTGAGACAAGAAAGACCTGGTTCCATATTGATTGCTGCTTTGTGCTGTAGAAATATTTAGCCCTTCTACACAAAGGGGTATCAGCTCATACTGCTGTCCATGCACACCTGGACATTTCAAGCTTCTTATGGAAAGGCCCAGTTAATTTGTGTTACACTGGGAGTTCCCAGTCATTTAGGGAAAGAGTGAAGGAGAAATTAAATGCTTTTCCTGGTTTATTTCTGTGCTGCTGTAAGGGAGGATAAGAAAGGAGGAATCACAATTTGGTAAGGTAACTTGAGCTCACACTTTTTTCTGAACTCTTGGAACACACTCCAGCAGAAGCTTTACCTGCTTCAAGCCTTCACCCTCAGAACTGTTGTTTTGCTTTCTCTCTGCTGGGGTGAGAAGGCAAGGGCTGGGGAGGAAGGGCAGAAGAAAAGGAGTAAAAGAGATGAGACAAAGCTCTGTTTTAACAAGATCCCACTCCACCATACTCTGATCCTAAAACAGGACTAGAGTAACTTCTTAAGCCTTTAGCTTAGAGTGAAAGATAACCAGCAAAAGCGATGGAAAGTTTACTAGCATTATGCCAGTTTTCAGTATTTTTTTCCACTACCATGTTCCCTAGAGAAAGGGATAAATTTTTGTCTCCAGAGAAGTTTATCACTGATGTACATCGGTGGAAGTCCCATGTCTGAATGATGGTTTACTTAGTCCTGAAAGTCATTTTCTAAAAACCTCTTTACAGAATCAAAAAATTAGCATGCCAGAATTGAAAGTTCCACTATTCGTTAATTCTTTTTAAAATGTTGACATCATGAGCATATCACAAAACACTGCTGTGAATTACTGCATGCTTTTGTAAGAAAGAGATATAAAGTCTTTTCAGTAGGATTTTTTAGTTACTTGGGTAGATTGAAGCAACTGTTCACAGTAGAAAGACTGGTGTTAGCAATGAGAATGAGATAACGAAGGACACTTACTAAATTAAGCAGAGATGTTTTCTAAAATAACTACTGCTCTACTAGACTAAAAGCTGAACTGCAGACATGTTTTGAAAATGTAATTTTAGAATTGCTTCCATCTTCATATCTAACAATATCTGAAATTTTGCAGGTCATTAGTTCAGCAAGTGGAATTGTCCTTGTTCCATTTAAAAATTCTGAGTCAAACGGTTGAATTATTTATATTACAAAAGCACATGCACAGTTTCACAATGATCATTAGATCCAGTATGAAAAATAGCATTGCAGATGATAGCAATTAAATTCCTTTTAATTTCATATCATAAAGGGCATAAGTTTTCTTTACCCTAATTAAGGTTTGAGCTTTAATTAGCTCAGCATTGTGGAACATCAGTGAAGGATATGATCACTTGAGGATAAAGATGATGTGTGTTTATTTCATACCATAAGGCCCGTAGCAAGCTGCATCCACCTTTGTTCCTAAAAGCTTTATGGGTCTTCACAGATTCTGTCTGTATCTCAGTCATTTTTATGTTTGCACTTATTTTTTAAAATACAAACAAAATCTGAAATACTGTCTATTAATGCCACCTTTATCTGTGCAGAGTTTATTACACAGTCATGACTGATTTCTGTTTGCACATCGAAAATGTCAGTTTGCCACTCTCTTAATTAGGGAACACTAGAAGCACTGTGTCTTAGTCATAGTGATGACAATTTTTAAGCAAGCTTAGCCCACAGAAAGCTTTGTATGCTTTCAAAACACGGTGGTAATATTTTTTTCTTCTACCAGGCACTGGGGAAGAAAGAATCTCTAAATTCAACAAGCATTCACAAATGCACTAGTCACTCTTGATGCAAATTAGATTGAATAAAACTTTGCTAATAATGTTTTGTAGGGTATTTCTAAATAGTTCACTGATTGTGCTTCCCTTGTTTTCCCCATTGTGCTGTTGATTTAATGTAATTTAGTCAAATCAGAAACTCCAAATGAGCACATTGCTCCCTGAGCAAGCTGGGACAAGGAAGTCCGAATTGCTGCTCACAGATTTTCATCTCTCTTAGCCAAAACACCCACACTGAGGTAACGCAGAGAGCAAGAGAGTCTATTCAGTTCTATCCCTGAGAATTTTTTAAAATTTTTTAATATCATATGACTTACTAATGTGACACAGTTAATTCAATTATTTTTAAAAAATGATTAGTTGTTTACATTTTGACAATTCACAGAATGTGAAAACACTAAATGTTGATTTAGGCATATGCAGAGTGTACTATTTTGCATTTCAAATTGCCTTGGGAAGGCAGCAAGATAAATATTTAGGAAGATTTTTCTGACTTGTTTTTGAGAATGTTTGCAGCTTTCAATTCAAGTGAAACAGGACTTCTCCATCTTTCTTAAACTAAGACTTTCCATGTAGTAAGACCAAGTTGTGTCCTTGACTACAAGGGATTCTTCTGTCCAAAACTCCTGTTGTCATAATCTTTAAATCAGAGCTGGATGGCCTTTTAAAAGTATCTGGTTGCTCATTCAAAATGTGTGGGTGTAGTGCTCTGATGTATATTCTGCAGGAAGTCAAACCAGATAATCGAGACAGTCTTAGTCTACATGACTTCATGTAAACTTTTCAAATGAGCCAGTTGTTCTCCCTGGATGTTTTAGTAGATAATGTCAGTGCAAAGGTTAATATGATTGTTCATATTAAGTGAAAATGGAAACCCACAAAAAACTGAGAATATATTCTTCACAGGCATAGCAAAGATGGAGTATCTAATAGGACTTAGGAGATTTTTTTCCTAGACTTTTAACATTAGGAAAAAATCTGAGACTCTTTCTTGTAATAGAGTAAAAAAAAAAAAAGTGGAAATGTTAAATGGTTTGAATAGTTTATTTAGAACTGATGAAAAGGTGGGCCTTTCTTGCATCCTTTTGCTTCTACTGACACAATATCTAACTGAGGAAAAGCTCTAACACATGCAAAAGCAGTGAGAGGAAGAGCATATGGATGGTTAAGTGATGTTATAGCTCATCCAGTCCATTTTTCTTCAGTGTGATTAAAACAAACAAAAAAAATTAAGGGAGTAACGTACCCAGCACTGCCTGCCGTGGCAGATGTGTGAGATGCTTTTGAAGGATGTTTGGAGTAGCTGCTCAAGAATGAGCCTGTATTTAAGTGTGAAGTAGAAGCAAATGCAAATCATTCGAACAGCAGGGATATCAGTTTGGAACTGGCTGAGTGCTGAGCATCCTGAGGCAAGGATGCTCAGGGCAAGACTTGTCCCCAGCTCTTTTGCTGTGCTCTGTTAAAAATGTGGTTTTCCGTTTCATCCAGTGCCTCAGGCATCCTCTAGATTTTGCTGGTGGAAAGGAGTCATATCTCCCTGAACTGCTTTTGGAACCTCAAGCAGAGCTGATGTTGAGCTGGAGGAGATGCTCCTGACTGTAGTATGCTCTTGGCTACTACAAAAGCCTAGTGGGAGGTTCTTGCCAGTCTCTTCACTACTGGGAGCACGCTGCTAAACTGGCTCTTACCAGCAATTCTTTCATCTCTACAGCACAACTGAGAAATTATACTTGTACTTTGGAATATGAATTTTTGACAAATCTGTGCAGCTTCCTTTAAGCCCTGAGGAGTGAGCCACCTTTAGCTTGCACACTCATCTACCACACGGATCTGAATGAGTATGATAAACCCAAGTGCCATTAACCTTCTAATGTATAGGCCTACAACTTCCTACCTCTTTCACTGTCTTCTATGTTATTGTCAGGTAGTTTAATGGCCTCCTAATTTGTGTGTGTGGATGAACTAATTAGCAATACAAAAATATGAAATCACCTTACATTTTCTTATCATCAAGTCTTCTGAGGGTTCTGAATTTGTCTTCGTGCATAAGGCAAAATAATCAAAGATGCAGAGCTTGTTAAATTTGCCTTCATTAGCACTGAATCTATTTGCCTAAGTACTCTTATTCCTGCTGAGATCACTTAAATATACAATTTCCCCGTTTGATACTTTTTCTTCTTTCCCAGAATACATTTTCCACGCAACACAATCCCTTGGACAGGAAAGAAATTATGTGTGTCATCTTGTTTTCCTTCATTTTATGAGAAAGTGCTGCCA